CTGTATATATATATATATATATATATATATAGGTATATATATATATATAGAGAGAGAGAGAGAGAGAGAGAGATACATATATATAGATATAGATATATATGTTGGACTTATTGAATTCACAAGAGTCTCAGCTTTGCAAACCTAATTTATGCAATTCCAAGACTGTTTGTGGACCCCAGTATGCAATTATATTCAAATACAATAGGTGAAAAACTTCAGGTTACGGGCCAAAACTACAAGGGACTAGCATAAAGTGGGCATGTGTGTAAAAGAGGAGACTTGTTGGTACCCATAGAACCCATTTTCATTCAGATATCTTAAATTGAGAAGTCAGGGGATCCTTGTGAAAAAGGCCATGCCAGCTTCTCCCTTGCCAAAGTATAGCTCAACTTTGATGCATTACTTAACGCCCTTCCTGACAAGCATGACATGGCTGGTACCAAAGGATTCCTTATGACTTCTAGCAGTATCTTCAACTCCTCTGGCTTTAAAACTCAGCCTGCTACAGCCTCTGACAGACAGTAATATCAGCCGAGGACGCCGCCAGTGTGTCTATAGAGTGGAAGAGGTTCTAAAGAGAGAAAAACATTTTGACCAAAAGTAACGACTAAAATGTCATGACTTTGATGACCAAAACTGGAAAAAAACTATAAGGGATAAAAATGACTAGAACGTGTCTAAAAGCAGTAAGTATTTTGCCTAAAGACTAAATCTAAAATAGCTGCCAAAATGGAGACTGTCCTGAACACACACTCTTCTCTTCTTCCAACTCTTCCTCCCTCTGTCCATCACTCTCTCTGACACACACAGTGAGGTGCACTGAAGCGAAGCAGAGCACACAGCTGTGAACCAACCCAGAGGCCTATGTGTGTGTGTTTGAATGTGTCTGACAGCCTGGACCACTGAGACTAAACCAGAGGCGTAAGCAGGTCAACATGAGAATGAGGACAGTATGAATGTATGAAACAGAGGGACAGAGAGAGAGAGAGAGAGAGAAAGAGAGAGAGAGTGAAAGGTGGAGTAACACAGGTCGATCCAAAGAACTGTCAGTGTTTCGTCTGTAATTAGAATATTCATCACCCTCCCACACACACACACACACACACACACACACACACACACACACACACACGCTGACTGGTTAAGCTGCATTTGTGGGTTGATAAATGACCACAGTCAGTGGTCAGCTTCACTTCCTCTCCACAGCTGCTCTGCCACATGCTCACTTGGAGTTGTACAACACGTACAGCAGGCTGCTGCTTACACTGTGGTAACTGGCAGGAATGGTTGTTATGCAGCAGCAGTGTGTGTTCACTTAAAGTAATCTTCCCTTTGCACTGGTACACAGTGCCCTGCTGGGTTTGGACTTGCTGATATGAGTGTTTTGAATCTTAATCTTCCACTTATACTGTTCAGCTTTGACGAGTGCAGTAACATCAGTGATATATGAATGGCACACAGATCTTCCCTGTTGTCTGGAGTATGTACATCCCACCTCTCAGTGGGATGTACATACTGACAGGCTATATCATATTACTCTGATATCACATGAGAAAAATATAATATAGTCAGTCAACTACAATAAAGGTTGATAAAGTAGTTAAAATGGGATGCTGTTGAAGGAAATATAAATAACTGATATTATATTAATGTTAGAAATGACATTAAAGAATGCTCAGCTTGTTCCTTGTAAGTCTTAATTAAGACATTATTGAGTAATTGGGCATAAAATTGTAAATTGCATTGCATGTTACTTTCATCCCTGCTGGATATGATCTACCGCTGCTTCCATATAAGACATTTCACCCATGATATTCTGTCTGCACACAACCTTTGCTACTGTGGTGCATACAACTGGGGTTAAAAGCTGTATAATTAATCATTTTTATATCAAAATCATGATTTAAAACAGAAATATTTTAGAAATATAAAATACAAAAAAACCTCACTCTGTTCTAGAGGTTGACAAATATATCAGCTCGGCCAATTAATTGGCGCCAATAGGAGGTTTTACAAACTATCAGTATCAGTGGAACTTGGTTCCGATAGTGGCCGATGGCTGCGCGGCCTCCATCACTCACACAGAGAGGTACATCATCGAGTTGTTCAAATTTTTTTCCAAATTACTAACAGAAATTAGTTCAATCAGGAGCGATAGAAGAATAAAGTAAAGGTAATATTTCATAAGGACAATGAGTGTACAGATAAACAGATGATTTGAACAGATTAGGATTTAACAGAAGTCTTTGGTGATTGGACACAGGAGAGAGACATTTTGTGATTGAGGGGCATCTGAACGGCAGCAAAATAAATCCTCCCATGGAGTCCAGGCACTGGTGGTGGTAGCTGCTGACTTTGAGGCAGATGAAGCTGATGAATCCGTAAAGACTAGGTGGTGATGAGGAGGTGGAGGGCGTGCACAGCCGCAACAAAAAAGAACTATGGCAGAGAAAGAACCATATTTAAAATGAGGAGCAGTAAGATGATAGGCTGACAGAGAAGGTGTGCCGCTGTGCTAAAAAGCTGATGACTCAACTGACAGACCCAGACAATGACAGCTAGAGATAGTGAGAGAGCATGCGTGCAAAGAGTGAATGGCAGGGTGAGAAAGAAAACTTACAGCCTGATCATGAAAAGTATTGTCCTCTTGACTGAACTTTCGCTGGAGCTTAATTTCTTTGGAAATAAGGTCTAATTGTTTTCTTTAAATGTTTGAGAATCTTTGGCTGCAAGCATTATGTTCTCGGGTTGTCCATACATCTGTATGTCTTCAAATTTGTGTCCACTTGGACTCAGCGATGAATATTTTGGCAGTCATAAGTCAAAGGTCAAGGTAACAGTGACCTCGTCGGTCCCATTTTTGTCAACATGAAATCTCAAGGACACCTTGAGAGATTTTTTTTTTCATATTTGGCACAAATATTCATCTGGACTCAACAATTGCCTGACTAGATTTTGGTGGTCAATGGTCAAGGTCACTTTTGAATGCAATATCTCAAGAAAGCTTTGAGGGAGTTTCCTCACATTTGGCACAAATGGCCACTTGAACTCAGGACTGACCTGATTAGAACTTGGTGGTTGAAGGTCATCACTGTGACCTCACAATACCTGTTTTGGCCATAACTCAAGAATTTGTAGCTAATTATGACAAGGTTTCACACAGATGTCTAATATGATAAAATGATGAAGCGAAGTGTTCTACAAAAACCCTTTTTTGGCCAACATTCAAAGTCATAACTCAGAAATTTGCATATGAATATAAGATTTTTTTCTGCTAGAATCTGTACTGAATTGTTCACAAACATCCTTTAAATCCATATGGACTGGCTACAGCAGTACCTGTAGCTGTGTTGTCTAAATTAGCATTAGCACTAGCCATGCCACTGCTGTGTTGTGTCAGCAAGGGTGCCAAAAATCAAGCGTTGTTAACTGTTGCTAGAGTAAACAATGCTCACCTTCAAGTTTATAAGTTGAGGACAGATGCATTCAGTTTACTGTTCACCAAAAAATATGAGCAAGCTCAGTAAAAGTGCTCTTTTAGCGTAATCATGCACAACAATAACAGCCGACTGCCAACATCCTCTGAAAGTTACAACCACTAGTGTCTGATACTGTAACTCATGCCAATCCCATCTGTGTTAAAGACACACTGCAAAAAATAATCAGCACTGCTGCAATTCAGTTTTATTAACAGTCATGAGTATCTTATTGAAAAAAATATAAGGATCGCTGCTGAGAAACAGCATTAATACCACAATGTTATGTATAATCCAATCAACGTTCATCTTTGGCACTTGGACAATGAGAGAAATGTCTGTGTGATGTGTGAAACAGCGAACAGTTTGTTTGTCAGATAATGAGAAATTGTCTTCTTGCCTATCAAACTGAGCTGACATCTTGGTCTCAAACACTCTCCCTCTGTTGCCAAGACAAAAGAGCTGCTTTCAGTGAAACAGAGCAGAATTCACCCCCAATTTAGATTACAGCTTCTTTTCACACTAATCAGTGTCATTATGTGTGTGGTAGACAGTGACAGTATTTGCCACATCATTCAGCTGAAAGTGTTGGTGGAACAGAAAGGGTCACACCTGGAGAAAGGAAAGAAACCAGCATCTATTTTTACTTGTCAGCATATTAGTCATGCATTTTCTCTCTGACAGTTCATTTTCATAATCATTATTGCACAGAATAACCTATCAAGGTCTGACTGTGAAGCTCCTCTCTTACGTCAATGCATCAGAATGTTAAAAAGACTTTTTGCTGCTCGGCAGATTCAGACTGACATACTGTATCTATGGTAACTGTCACAAAAGAAAAGTACAGGAGAGGATGATGGGTAACAGGAAGTGCTGCCAGTAGCTACCCATCCATGACAGGAATCAGAGTGGATTGACATAGAGAGAAAAGTATGTGTCATACAGTCAGCGAAGCACTTCAGAAGAGATATACCTTTTGCTCTAGGTGAGTGTATGTGTTTGGAATAAGCACCAGCTAACTGGCTGAAATGATGAAACCACCAGACAGAAGCTGAAAGTCACACACAATCACTCACATCCATGTTTAACAATGAGTGCTAAGATTGATTTGATTATTAATTTGTTTTTCTCTGATTTTTTTTGCAGCTCTGATATCTGCTGGTTGCTGCACCAACTCCTGTAGGAGTGTAAAGCTTTGGGACAGGTGAGTCATAAACACACACACACCTTTAGCTCTTTTAGCTCTGTTTTGGACTCTGCCTGTCCCCAAAGACAGTATCTGGCTCTTTAGCTGCTAAATGCTCCACTATAGCAAGTCATTAACTTTGTCTGCTGTTTGATGTTGGGTAACAGGCTTGTATGAGAGGCCCTTTGAGACGTAATTCATACTTGGTTTCACATGTAACATCATACTCTCATACATACACCACTATACTCTCACACAAACACTACTATACCCTCTTACATGCACAATCATACTCTTATACATACACCACTATACTCTCACACAAACACTACTATACCCTCTTACATGCACAATCATACTCTTATACATACACCACTATACTCTTACACAAACACTACTATACCCTCTTACATGCACAATCATACTCTTATACATACACCACTATACTCTTACACAAACACTACTATACCCTCTTACATGCACAATCATACTCTTATACATACACCACTATACTCTTACACAAACACTACTATACCCTCTTACATGCACAATCATACTCTTATACATACACCACTATACTCTTACACAAACACTACTATACCCTCTTACATGCACAATCATACTCTTATACATACACCACTATACTCTTACACAAACACTACTATACCCTCTTACATGCACAATCATACTCTTATACATACACCACTATACTCTTACACAAACACTACTATACCCTCTTACATGCACAATCATACTCTTATACATACACCACTATACTCTTACACAAACACTACTATACCCTCTTACATGCACAATCATACTCTTATACATACACCACTATACTCTTACACAAACACTACTATACCCTCTTACATGCACAATCATACTCTTATACATACACCACTATACTCTTACACAAACACTACTATACCCTCTTACATGCACAATCATACTCTTATACATACACCACTATACTCTTACACAAACACTACTATACCCTCTTACATGCACAATCATACTCTTATACATACACCACTATACTCTTACACAAACACTACTATACCCTCTTACATGCACAATCATACTCTTATACATACACCACTATACTCTTACACAAACACTACTATACCCTCTTACATGCACAATCATACTCTTATACATACACCACTATACTCTTACACAAACACTACTATACCCTCTTACATGCACAATCATACTCTTATACATACACCACTATACTCTTACACAAACACTACTATACCCTCTTACATGCACAATCATACTCATACTGTATGTATAAGAGTATGATGCTTTGATAACTTGGCACATCTTCACCACAAATACCTCGCCCAGTATGGGCCAGACCTGTGGGGAGGAGCTCACCAGCGAGCATCTGGTGGCTGGGCCCTGGAACATGGGGCCTGGTCAGGCTCAGCGCGCCCTGTGGGCCCACCACTCGCAGGGACAGGAATCAGAGTTGGGTGTGTTGTGTGCATTATAATGTTCTCAGTGCTACTGCACTTAACAAGACAGCCCGCACAACATGACGGGCAACATGCTGTCTGCCCCTCCCACCCCTAAACCAAAACACTCTACTCCAGTGAGACACACTGGAAGGCAGCTAAGCTATGCTAGCTTGTTTCAATATGGTTAGTTAGGCCATTACTAGACCAGAAATATAAGATCCTCCAATAACCTACAGGTCTGACGTTTGGAGCCAATTTGCTTTTGCTGTAAATTATAAGGACGATGATGGGAGAGTGATGGATTAAAAAACAAGACACATCTGCTACACAACAGTAGGTTAAATTAGTGAGAATACTTCAAACATGTCAATCAGTCAGTAGGTGGAACTAGATGAAAACAAGGAGCAACACAAATGCTTCAAGCTAATATTATCCCCGCAGCATTTAGGCAGTCATTTCTAATTGATTCAAACAGAGCAAAAGAAATCACGTGAGGATTGGTAATGTTAATGCCCAACTTACAAAATAAAATTTTATTTCATTTCAGAAATGGAGCTGTTTTTTTTTGTTATTTCTTCATAACTACTTTACAACATTTAATATTTTAAAAGTAGCTCTTTTTTTGTGCTGAAAAGACATCCCAGAAGATGGGTCACTCAGGTAGCTTGTTGATTGTAAAGAGTTAAAAAAGATGATACTTTATGACATTAAGTTAAATAAAATTAAAAAAATAAAACTAAATGGAATGTTTTGGCATTTCTACTTTCAAATATCTATATATTGTAGTACATATAATATATCAGTGACATACCAAACTGTGACACCAACGTGTTGTATCAGGCCAAACCTTGAATTTTGTTATTCCTGTTATTCCCATACAATAAAGCAATTTCATAAGTATGCATATATATATATACAAAGTATGTAACAATACTAATGGAGAACACATGTTTCAAGTAATCTGTGTACTTTATATTATCAGTTGTATTGTCAGTCCTCAGTTGTAGCTATGGCTCTGACTGGTGATATTTTTGTTTTTGGTGAAGGTGGTTTACAGTATGGAAAAGGGGAAATTGTGTGTGTGTGTGTGTGTGTGAGAGAGAGTGTATGAGTAGGAGAGGTCACCCTGGTGTGACCCCTGCTTTAATGCATTGGCCGCAGGGTGAGTGATGGCGCTGGGTTAATATTTAATGATGAAGCAGTTCCTGATGGGTGAATAAATCAGCCTCCATCTTTACCTGGAGAGGATGGATCCCTGCATTCTGCTGAGCACAGGCTCCACATGCACTCTCACACACACACACACACACACACACACACACACACACACACACATATATCTATATAAACACACATATACATGCATGCACATGCAGTAATTGCATGGTTTCCTTCTTGTCTTTCAGCTTCGATGCCTCCTGACCATGACATGCCTCTTGATCAGATGCTGCTGTGACAACACACCCCAGAGAGAGAAGCAGAGGGTTATTAGCAGGCTGGATGGCTGGATGGATGGAAGGACGAGTTGATCGAAGGCATAACTGGATGGAGAAATCATCATGAAATTCAAAATCAAGCAGTGAGGGCGAGGGAGCAGATGAGTGAAACAAGGCTACAAAACACTGGAAATACTTGAACACTCTGTCTGCCCTGTCTGCTGTGCTGCTGCTGCTGCTGCTGCTATGCATTCCCCGTGGACCACCAGAAAAGACTGAATGTCATTGTTTGGATGGGCAGAGACTCATCCCTGCATTGCCAAAATGAAGACAGGAAGAGAGATAAGACAGCTGAGAATCTTTGTGTTGCCAACAAAATAGTCCTACCTCTTTGGAAAGACAGACCATCTGGATGAAAGAACCTGTGCATGGAAGAGTAACACTGGAGGTTACAGCCCCTTCTCTTTACAATCACAACGCCAGTGATTATTTTTAAACTTAATACCCAACATGTGATAATGGTAACTACTTTTACAAAGTCAATGTGGGCCTGGAATTAAAGCACAAAAGAAGTTACTGAGTCATTTTAACTAAAAGTTTTTTAGTTATATAAAAGATATTTCTGTTTTTATTACAACTTCTTCCTATTATTCTTTATTTTTGTAGCCTTAATTATAGTAACATTGTACTCACCAAAGTAATAGCTGAGATCACAGAACACGGCAGCATCGCTACAACAATCCAACATGGCAAAAATCTTCTGTTTTCAGAGGAAATGTACAATTTCTGCTCAAGTGCAGAAGGCCTTCTTCAAAATAAACTTACAAAGTAGGTAAAATACTTTGTTTTTAGGTTGATATCCTGAAGTTAAGACTGACAAACTGCTGTAGACTGGTGCGTATCATACCAAAAAGGATGCCTCTTTGCGTCAGTGTCTAATGCAGAGGTCCACTGACTCAGCAGCGTTGCTTGTTGCATCTAGAACTGACATGCTCAGTGCATATCATACTGCTGCAAAAGGGGCCTCTGTGCATCCGTCTCTGAGGCCGAAATCATTGACAAAGCAGCAGTTCTCAAACATTCGTTTAGCCAGTAAGTTTAGGTAGATTATCAAAACCACCTTTATTTGGACGTTACACTGAAAGTGAGGTCACCACACATGTTAAAAGTAATCCCTCACTGCAAATGAAAACTTGCATTGTACATTTCTGCAAACCACAAAAATGCTAACAATTGCAATCTAGTGACTGGGTCGAAATAGCAGTGAGTTGCAGCCAGGTCTGACTCACCCACAGACTGTGGCTGTAAGCCTTTTACCGTTTACCGTCAAAATCCCCTTCACTACAGGAAACAACAACAACAACCTCCAAGCTAACAACTTACATGCTGAAAAATACATTTTGGACATGCAAATAACACATGCCTTATTTGTTCTTTCGGTGAATTGTTGTAAAGCTCTACAGCCAATAAAACAACTTGTGAACACACCTCGGAAAATCCCAGACTCCAACTTGCAGGACTCTGGGGCCCCCAATGTTGATCCGTTTTCTGGCATGGTCATTTGGAACTCTTTAGCCACTTCTGCCAAGTCTGTCAACGGCATGCACCAGTGACAGTGACTTCAACCGTTCCAGTTCACATGAGCTTCTGTGATATTGTTGTAATAATGTTCTGCAAGAACCAAACACAGCCAGCAAATCATCTGGGGTTTTGACAAGTCCAGTGAGCTCCTCTAGAGCTGAAGTATGATAAGGCTTCACCTCTAGGGCAGGTCTGGCTATGTGAGTTGCAGCCCTAACTTGATGAGTACATTGTTATTATTACTATGACTACAAAACGCTAGGTTGTAATGAAGACAAATTATACTTTAAAGACCTCCATCAAACAAATATTTTGTTGATGAAATTACAACACAGCCATTAATTCAGATTACTAGAATTAGACACAGCAGTTACCAGCACAGATAGCATTTACCACCATTTGATGAAAATAAGCTAACGGAGAACCAAACCAGTTCCAGTTGCCATATTTGGAAGTATACATAGCTTCTGTGAGAAATTTTGTTCCTGTGTAGTTCTGAGGCATTTACCCAGGGTGCAGTAACTGAATGGGTTACAGAGAAAACATATAGGGATATGTGGGGGAAAAATTTAAATATGTTGTTGTTTAGAGGAGGAGAAAAGGTTTGCTCATCTTCTGCTCCTCGTTCAGCTTTTGTGTCAAGGTCTGTTCCTATACCGACAGTGTTAGAGTATTCTAAACCTTGTGTCAGCGTTCAGTCATATATATGGTGCTGTGTGTGTGTGCTTGTCATTTTCTACACTCCTGAGTATTTAGACATGGACAACATGCCTTGTGCCTCATTTCATCACAGCATGTTAAAGGTGGAGTCAGCAATTATGGAGAAAGCTTGTTGATATTTAAATTTAACACCCAATCAAATACACCTCTGATGTTATTAAGGTGTCATTACTGTCAAGGTGTAGCTCTGTTCCTCATGGTCGAGGAGGAGGGATGTAGAAGAGGAAGAACAGCCAACATAGTGTTGTGTGGCTCATTACAAGCCACTCTATTTGCATTCACAGAGCCAGGGCTGTGCACTGTATGTCTTAGCACACACACAAAACTGACAGCTAGCCAACCATGAGGAGGTATTCACTGAATTTAACAAAAAGTGTATTGGATTAGAATCGCTGACTGCACCTTTAATGAGAGATGATGTAGTTGCAAGAAGACAAAGACAGACCAGGAAAGGATTTTTTGGCTGTACAGTGGATATTCAGCAACACTAAAATGAAAATGTATTAAATCATACAGTTGTACATTAACGTACAGTAAAGACTAGTTCTGTTTTGAAAGTTTATCGAGGCAGCACAAACATTAATTTAGAGGATATTATAACTAAGAGGAAAGTATCTTTTTTTTTCTTTTTTTTGTGTTGAAATTGCTCTTATTTTCTAAGAATTAGTCTTCATAATTTTAAACAAGACATGAATAGAGTCAGGTAGAAGCATTAAAAAAGTCAGAATTAGTTTTTTGTCGTTCAAGTCCCATTAAAGTCAGAAAAAAAAATACTGCCATGAGAAGCAACATGAAAAAAAAACTGTGGGCAGTGTTAGCCAGAACCTAAGTCCATCTCCTACATATGCAGTATTGTCTCTCACATATGCGATATTATGTCCTACATATGGGATGTTGTCTCCTACATGTGAGATGTTAGAAACATAACTTATTGTCAACAATGCCCACAAAAACAAAAAACTTCATCTTGCTCTTCATCTTGTTATCTGTGGTTATAAGCCTCATAGATATTGGTCAGTAGGTTCAGAGGGCTGATACATAGCTGTTACCAAGTCATTATGTTTCACTTTCCGTAGGTTTAGGCACAAAAAACCGACATGGTTATGTTTAGACAGAATCATAGTTGGGCCTCAATATTGGACCCCTGTTTCCAGGGTGAAATCCACCACCCCTCCATACCACCCTATACGCAGACTTTCTCAGACATGGGAGAAAGTCCTATGCAAGTATTATTTTGGGAAAAGTCTTTCTGGAGCAGGGGTGATTGCTCTGAGATAACAAGGGAGGCTGAACATCCCCTAAAATTTTATAGAAGAAATGGTCAAATATGCACTATTGAATTTACATTAAAATAAGAATTTACATTGCATTAAACATGTGCTAGGATGTTTTAACATCATGAATATGATGTTTAAACATTTTCAAAAGCGACCTCCCTGTCATACATCCTTGTGTCAGCACGGTGGACGTGGAGCCTCCAACCTTTCCTATGAGACAGCGCTGAGCAGGTTTTTCTCATGCAGCAAAGCGAGATGGTCACTGGATAAATGCGACAAAATCGTCACTTCCAGGGAGGCTCAGCTTCCCTGGGACCTAATGGAGCAGTAGGCAGGAGAGGATGCTTGATGTATGCATGATGATTGGAGGAATTGTCTAAAAGGCTGAACCCCTTTGTGATTGACAGCGCTTTTGAAATACACACCGGAGTTAGCGCATTTCGAGCTCAGTCCCATGCAGATATTTGCGAGTGGAGTCTTCTGACAGAGTGCCGTCCGGAGTTCCTTATTTCCCTAAGTGAGAGGTGTGTTTTGCTGTGGTTCATGAGTGTGGTTGAAAAACGGCTTAAATTAAATGTTCCTTTTATAAGTTACTGCCTCACTACAATATGACAAATTTTATGATGTAAACTTAAAGTGAGCTTCCCCTGTTTGAAAGACCAGCAGCTGTCACTGTTCTGGAGGAACATTTCATTTTATGATCTGATGATGGCCCTCTCAACCTAATAGTGGGTGTGGCAGGCCCTTTCTTATCCATATAGATGATGCTTATCACCACTGATAACAGGCATTTTATGGCCTGATAACAGCCAAATTGGCTCAAGATGTAACCACACAACTATACTTAGGCTCAAGCAGGCAATTTTGTCCAAATAACACAAATAACATTCTCTTATTGTTGGCAATTACGTGCAATAGAATATTACTGTTAACGGTTGATCAGATGAATTATGTTCTGTGCAGTAGTTAGTTTTAGAAAAATATACATACTGTATATTTTACAAAGTAAATTATGCATTGATGCATATGCGTTTGAGTCAACATAAGGTAGACTAAAAAAAAAAAAAAAATCATAAATGGCAAGAAATACAAACATTTGACTGTGAATGTGAACAGTGAATGATGCGCTGACAAATTTAACAGGAATTCTTACAACTCTTCAACAACTTTGTGTCATTTTCACTTCATATCTACTGAGCTAGATTCTGAACATTGATAGTCTTTGATAAATGACAAAAAATACATTTTTTTTTTTTTTTTTTCAAAAAATAAAAATAAATTAAAAAAATGACACAAAGTGCTCTTTCCTCCTTAATAAAGGAATTTGGGCATGCGTATCCTCATACAATGGTTTGTATCCTGTGAATAAATGCCCCACGAATGAGGTTATGTACTTAACATAAAGTTACGTGGAAGTCCTGTGTTTTGTGACCCATCCACCACCCCAACCTGCGGCCTTAAGGGAGCGTTTCCTCCTTTACTCCTGTCAGCGCATTGGTTACTTGATCACAGCCTTCCCAAAAGCATAGGAAAATTAGGATAGGATAAAAATTAAAAAATTGTGAGAACAACCTGCACTCTTTAGTATCACAATTTCATTATAAAAATCACAAACCTTTAGTCAACCCATAAATGTGCTCATAGGTCTTGTGCTCTTAGATTTTTAAGGCGTAGAATCATCTTTTAAGTTTCTAAAAGAACGAAGGCTCTAGTTACTGTAGGTGAGTTAGTGGAAACTTCTTGGATTTAATGAATAAATGCTCCCACATACACATACATTTTCAAATTCTGTTTTGTTCTTTGCTTTCACAGAGGAAAATAGATTTAAGTGGAAGCACTGATGCACCAAATCCAAGGTCAAGATTTAACAAGAAATGACTTACTGACTTAGCAAAATAGAACTTGAGGTTTGTGTCGAGAATGTGTTTAAAATCATCCATGAGAGATTCACCAGGGCCAGTACGTTTCCTGACAGCAAGCTTAGTTTCAGCAGGATTAGCATTAGGGGGATATCTGTCCTCACCAAAATAAGTGAAGTGATTTATGCCAGAATGTTTACTTTCTCTTTAAAAGCAGAGCAGATGAAATGATCAAGATGTGTTGTCCTTATAAGACTGGATGCTTGGATGTGTGGAAAATGTGACATTTTACTTTGTGCACACACAGTGGCTCACAATAGTATACACATACAGACATACACACATATACTTACATTTATCTTGAACCCATACTGTATAACCTCTGTACCCCCCCCCTTTTTTTTTTTTAGATTTGGTGACAGATGAAACAAGACCAGAACTATAATATATTATCAAAGACCTTTATGTTTTTAAAAGTCAAGAGTAGTATATCTGCTTAGTTTTATAAATATATAACTACAGTTATTATTTTTGACTTCTTGGTATAATATAACTAATTATTATAACCAGAGATGTATGTATAAGCTAATAAAGTGTCTTTATGTAAAATCAACACCTTTGTGAAAGTTTCATTGTATCTGTGTGCTTTTGTTGGATACGTAAACCAACAGCTGTACAGTGATGTAGACAATCATTCTTAAAGGACATGGTCAACATTTTGGGAAATATTTGCCAACTTTCCGAGACTGAGATGAGAGGCTTGGTTAGCTAAGCTTAGCATACAGATAAGAAGCAGGGAATGACACAGAGCCTGGCTCTGTCTGAGGCATGTTTTCACAAAATGATCTTGATACAAGGTCCACTTACGACCATTTTCAGTTTTTAACTGCATTTTTTTTTTTAATTGATTTATTTCGGTCATTAAAAAGCAGCAGAAAAAAAAAAATATCAGCAACAAAGCACAAGTAAACAAAACAAGGACTGACCGAAAAGGTGTAGGCTGAAGCAAAGGCTTCATGGTTTTCACCAACAAGTAGGACTGGTGTCATCGTGTGAGTTAGGTATAGAACTTTGGTCAGGTCATAACGTCTGTTTGAATAAAGCCCACATGCTCTCTGTTGCCTATTTGTTTTATTGTATTGTTTTTTCCTTTATTTAACCAGGAAGCAGGAAGCCCCATTGAGATTGAAAATCTCTTTTACAAGAGAGACCTGGCCAAGTTGGCAGCCAATCAAACATATTAAAATGCAACAAATACAACATATAATACAAAAATCCACAATAAAACAACATCAACTATTCAAACATAGTGGCCTCTCAAGAAAAACAAGAACATGTCTCCATCACCAGTCTTTATGATGCCCTTAAAATGATCAGTGTCATTATCAATGTTTCTAATCTTAGATCTTTCTGAAGATTGTTCCATGCCCATGGTGCATAGTAGGAACATGCAGTTTTCCCACATCTTTTAAAAACCAGGATTCATCAAAAAGGACCCACTTGGAGGAGTGTAGCTGGTAATTACCAGAGCTGATACACTCAAGGGTGCAGAGGTAGGCTGGAGGTTTTCCCAATATTGCTTTATAGATAGAAAAATATCAGTGCTGTTGTCTGAGTGGTCAATGATGACCCACCAAATCACAATGAATTCAGTGATAGGTAGGGACTTGTTTGCATTTGTACATTTGTAAGAAAGCATCGAGATGCATGGCATACTGAATCAAGACTATGTAAAATGGAAGAGGCTGCATGCATAAACAATATGCCACCGTAATCAATCACAGACAGAAAGTAGCTTCCACAAGTTTTATTTTTCTTCGCACTGAAAGTAAAACAAGATTTATTTTTAAAATAAAAGCCCATCTTCACTTTAAGCTTCCTCACTAGAGAGGCAATATGTACATTAAATGAAAGCTTGTCATCCATCCATATACCCAAATACTTGTATGAGGGCACTCTGTCAATGGATATACAGTCAGAAGTGAAAATGCTCACATCATCAAGCAACTGTGAGCAAGCTTTTGAGAAGACTGTGAACTTCATTCTGAGCATTTAAAATCAATTTTAAGTTCAGCAGAGCAGTTTGCAATGACTAAATCTCTAAAGCTCAGTCTGAAGCTCTGATAGTATATTTTTGCTTGAATGTCTTTACCCAAATCATTCATAAAAATAGAAAACAAAATAGGCTCCGAGATGGAACTCTGGGGGACACCTTTGGTTATCTTAAGAAATTCCAATTTATGGCCTTCTGCAGAAACACACTTAGTATGATCTACCAAATAGTTTTGGAACCAGTGTACAGCCTTAGGGCAGACACACATGAACATGAGAGAGATGGTATTAGTATACGGAGCTACTCTCACACATTATGTCACTCTCACCACACACATACATGGTTCTTTCACATGGATATGTGAAACTACTGAAACACTTAACTTTTCTAAACACAGGTATTTTCACTCTCACTTTCATGTAATAACACTTCCATACATCTGCATCATGCATCTGTTACTCTTACATACCTTCTAACTCTTACATATATTTTCATCATCATATGTATAAATACACTATATTCTCACATACATACATATCGTTTGGTTATCTAACATAACCACAGTTCTTAGAATAATATGAGCGAGGTGTCTCACTATGGGATGCAGCCTCCTGCAGCCCTGATAGAAGCATTTATCTCAATCCGCCAATCTTGATTGGCTGGTGAAAGGTGTTCATCCACGCCGCACCCAGTAGTCCCACCTACTATATATAGTGTGCGCGGATAACGCTCCTTCAATTCAATAAGCAAACCTCTTCTCACCGCCCAGCAAGAAGGGTCGTCTGGCGAGACACCTCGCTTATATTATTCTAAGAACTGCGGTTATGTTAGATAACCAAACGTTCTTCTTCATAATATTCACTCAGTGTCTCACTATGGGATATAGTAGCTCCCGTATTGCCACACAGCTTATCGAATGAGTACCCGCCAGTGGGGAGGGTCCCTGGGTTCCAGTTAGGACTTCAGGATCGCGCTAGCCACACACAGCCCTGACACGTCCAGCATATAGAACCGAACAAAAGTCAGAGGTGAGGACCAACTCACTGCTGAACAAATGTCCTGAACAGACACTCCCCTAAATAAAGCCCAGGATGCGGCCATCCCGCGGGTAGAGTGCGCACGCAAACCCACCGGCGGCTGCAGACCCCTGCTCGTATACGCCAAAGCTATAGCCTCCACCACCCAGTGGGCGAGGCGCTGCTTTGTGACTGGCTGTCCCTTTCGGGGTTCAGCCCAGAAGACAAAGAGCTGATCGCTCCTCCCGATGCTCTGTCCTGTCCATA